GGGGGGGGGGGGGGGGGGGGGGGGGATGTAAATCTCTGCCACGATAAACCACACTCATAACACAGGTCCTCTCTGATTTTAGGTGTTATCTGTGGACTGTAATGAGTACATTTATTCTTTACCTCCCCCGACTGAGACGGAGTGTATCCCTGGCCCATAGTAGACAGAACAGCCTTTGCTTATCTTCCTGTGCTGTTTCTCACTGTTTATCCGACTGTAAGGTAATGTTCCAAGAGAACCTGATTAGGTGTTTGCAGAGCTGCATCCCTACCAGAGGGGAATGTTTTAAATGTTCCAAAAATAAAAATACTTTTTACCAATTAGGATGTTATTCAGACTTAAAAAGAAAAAGTAAGGACATCCTGACACACACTACGACGTGGATGAACTTGTAGACATTATGCTGAGTAAAATAAGCAGTCACAGAAGGACAAACACTGCGTCATTCCTGTCACATGGATGCCTAGAGCATTCAGCATCGTGGGGACAGGGTTTCAGCTTTACACGGCGAGCAGAGCTATGGTGATGGTTGGCGGTGATAGCGGCACAACATTATGAATGCATTTAATGCCACTGAACTGTACACTTAAAAATGGTTAAGATGACAATTTCATGTGTATTTCACCATAATTAAAAACATAGAGAAATCATTACACCCAGAATGGTGGCATGTCCTGAACAACCAAACACTTTGGAGAAACCTTTGGCTTTGAAGATGGAGGAAGGGGCCTCAAGCCAAGGAACGCAGGTGCCTCGAGAAGCTGGAAAAGGCAAGGAAATGGGTTCTCCCCTGGAGCTTCCAGAGGAACCGCCCCGCCCGCACCTTAAATTTGGACTTCCAGCCTGCGGAACTGTGAGACAGTACACTTCTGTCAGGTTAGGCCCACAGTTTATGGTTGCTATGGGCTGAATTGTGTCACCCGCCCCGATTTATATGTTGAAGCCTTAACTTCCAATATGTCTGTATTGGAGATGGGACTTTTAGAAGATAATTAAGGTTGAACGGGGTCATAAAGGTGGGGTCATAATTCAATAGGATTGGTGGCTTTATAAGAGGAAGAGAGAGAGGAAAGGCCCTGTGAGATGGTGCCTCCTGCAAGCCACAGAGAGAGGTCTCACCAGACCCCGGCAGTGTCGGCACCTCGACCTCGGACTTGCAGTCTCAGAACTGTGGGAAAATATATTTCTGATGTTTAACCCCTCAGTTTGGGGTCATTTGTTATAGGAGCACCGGGACACTGACACATCGAGACTCTGTTGCCTGGGAACTACGGGTGGCCATGAGTGTGGAGAAGCAGAGGACACCACCTGGGGAGAGGGCAGCATGGAGCTGAGAGAGGGCTGGGCGGATGACGTCAGTCGGGGGCTTGCTCGGCCCCGTGAGGCTGCCGTGACCTGCTGCGAGTCCCATGAGACCCTCTGGGTCCCGGGTATCCATTCCCTTTCTTTGAAGTGATTTTCATTGCAGCTGAAAAGTACATTGACCAAAACAATGATCTGTCTTTCTTTTTAATGTCAGGGCTTGCATATGATCAGACCATGAGACTTGGGAAACAATACTTCCTCTCTTTACAGTCAGTTCAGCCCATTGACTTGGACGTAATGAATTTAGGATCTGGTGCCCCCTTCAGTGGCCTGGAAGGACGCACGGACCATCCGGTTCATCAGAGGTTTCATTGCAGCTGAAAAGTACATTGACCAAAACAATGATCTGTCTTTCTTTTTAATGTCAGGGCTTGCATATGATCAGACCATGAGACTTGGGAAACAGTATTTCCTCTCTTTACAGTCAGTTCAGCCCATTGACTTGGAAGTAATGAATTTAGGATCTGGTGCTCCCTTCAGTGGCCTGGAAGGATGCACGGAGCTTCCGGTTCATCAGGGATTGAAGTGGGCGGTAGTTGTTCACCATCGTCTTCTCTTCTTCACCAAGTGCCGTGAACAGGAGCGTGCGAAACGCGGCCAGCTGGAACAGAGAGCCACCAGTCACCTGGGTGCAGGGACCGTGAACAGCTGCCAGGGCCTGTGTAGTCCCCTCCCCCCGTGAATCAGGGATGGCCTGTGTGGCCAATACAACATGGCAGAGGTGACTCTGAGCGATGTCAGGAAAGGCATTGCAGCTTCCACCGGGGTCTCTGGGGACGCCAGCTGCCATGTTGTGAGGACACTGAAACAGCCCGTGGAGAGGCCCACGTGGTGTGTATTCTTGCAGGCTACTCGTGTGAGCCACGTTGGGCATGAATCCTCAAGCCCCAGACAAGCTTTCAGAAAACTGCAGCCCCAGCTGACACCTGACTGCAACTCCATCAGAGATCCCGGGCAGAACCACCCCAAATTCTGGCCCACAGTAACTCTGAGAGATAATAAATGATTTTTTTTTAAATCACTAAGTTTTCGAGCTATTTGTTACACAGCAATAGAGATCTAATGCATAACCTTTGATTTACTTTTCACTCAAGGAACTAAAAGATTATTTTTTATGTATCATCTCATTTGTCCTCAGAATATACTGATGAGCTCTGTGAAAATAACTCACATGTTTAATTAATGCAGAAGTGACATTTTATCTATACAGTGACCACTTACTGAGCAAGACAGATCTGTGTGGTTGATGAAGCGCCTGTGGAGTTCTGTGGGGCGTGGTGCACAGTCTCCCAGGCATTCAAGCTCACTGCATGTTTTTTTGACTTTCTCAGAAATGCAGCCTATCTCCTCTCCTCCACTTGGCCATCTCCTTCCCACTGCCCCGGGGGTGCACACACACCTCCCCACTTCCCCTGGTCAGGGTAAGGGGCTTCTGATCTGTATTTTTGAATAACACTCAACCCTGTTTTCATTTCCCCGCAGACAGCAGTTTGCAGAGACTGATATCATTGTTTTTGCACCACCCTCTCCTTTCCTACCCCTCTCCCACCCTCTTCTGCTACAAACCTGACCCAGAATGCGTGCTTATTACATGTTTGTTGAGTGACAGAGGGGTCTTGGAGACAGGGGTCATTCTTCCTCCAAGGCTGTCCTGATGTCTGCAATAGTTCTGGTTTGGGGGTAGGATGGGTGATCTGCAGCCTGCATCTCAAAGTTCAGACTCGCAAGGCAAAGGGCATCATTCCGTGACTTTTAAATAAGAGAATATTTTCAGACGCGTGAGGCTGGAAGTACCTCTAAGAGCGCATCTAGAGCCCTCAGAGAAGGACAGTTGAACCAGAGCTGATAAATACTGCTGAGATTGATCAGAGGTGTCTGCCTGAGGCAGGGGTGGGACAGTGACACCGTGCCTGCTGTGTAGTTATCATCCCTAAATCTAAACTGCCCTCAACAGACGGACTTTCTCCTGATTCTAGATTTCCAAGAAAAAGATACTGCAACTTAAAAAATATATATGTAATATCTACTTATTTTAGAACCATAGAATATTTAGATAAGGAAAAGGAAGAAAATAAAAACCACTGCAGATCTATGACCCTGGGATAATGAGTAGTAACTTTTTGGTGTGTATCTATGTGATAAACCGGGGTATTGTTCAGTAAATATTCACTCCCTTCCTCTCTGCCCCACTGACTTTGGCCTTGCCATTGTGACTTGCTTTGGCCAACAGGATGGGAATGGGTGTGATGCCAGCAGAAGCCTTAAGTGTGCATGTGTCGTTTGGCTTGCCTTTTGCATTTTTGTCATTTACCATGAGAACCAGCCCTTGGTAGTCACTGGTCCAAGGAGCATGAGAGGCACTGGGTCCAACCCAACCACTGACCACCTTCGGTGAAGCCCAGACTTCTACAACCTAAAATAGAGCCTCCCTAGCTGACCAGTGATTCTCTCTCATCATTGATGTTTCTCTCTCTCTCTCTCCCTCTCCCTTCTTCTCTGAAATCAATAAAAATATATTTAAAAAGAAAAGAAAATAGAGCCTCCCAAGACAATCAATAAACCCACAAGCAGAAAAAAAAAACAAATGTTTGATATAAGCCACTGAGTTTTGGGGAGGTTTGTTACACAGCATTATTGTAGCAATAGCTGACTAATACAATCCTTCTGGAATTTTATCTGAGCATATATAGTTATGTAGCTTACTGTTCTATCACCCAAACAGTGGAACAAACTAAAATGTTCTCTTCCTCTACCCTTTCCTCCCCCCACTCCATCTCTGTCTCCCTCACACACTAATATCTCAAGGTCAAAGGGTTGTGATTTCAGGAACCTCTGTTCAGTCTCAACAAGCTTGTACTTCAATTGGAACTTTCTTCTGGTGCAGGAACATCCAAAACGCACCAAAAGGTAAAACTCCACGATGCTCACTTACAATATCTTAGTGACACTGCCACACAATTTCGTCAACACAGTCCCACTACACCAGCTGCAGGCACAGCTCACCTGGTTCGCGGCCACTTCAATGGGCTTCTTCTGGATGATCCAGGTGACAGACTCGGTCAGTGGGGGAGTGGTGAGGGAGCCCGGGTAGGTCCAGTAATCCCGGCAGGTGGGCAGCAGGCAGGAGGGCTCGAAGGGGCCCATGGCCACCCGTGCGTCCTGAGAGACAGAGGCCACAGGCCGCATCAGGCGGAGATGGGAGGGGCAGAGGCTCAGGGAGGAAGGCAGCGGCTCTATCTTCCTCTCAGAGACGTGGCTTCGCATGGCTAGGAGGGAAGTGTGTTCCCCGAGATAAAGGCTGTGAGGCCACGGTTGTCACATTTGGAAGTAGTAACAAGAACATATGACCCTTGTCGCAGAGCATGAATCCTCACCCAATGCTTATATATTTTCTTTTAAAGTTATCTATTTTCCCATGTCCAGGCTGTGAAAATATTATACTTTAAAAAATTTGGTAAAATAACATGCATAACATAAAATTTATCATTTTCACCATTTTTAAGTCCTGTGGCAGTAAGTGCATCCACACTGCTATGCAACCATCACCCCCATCCATCTCCTGGACTTTCTCATCTTCCCAAACTGGAACTCCTTCCCCATTAAACACTAACTCCCTGTTCCCCTCCCCCAGTCCCTGGCACCCACCACCCCACTTTCTGTCCCTAGGAACCTGACTCCTCTAGGGACCTTGTATGAGAGGAATAATCATGCACTATTTGTCCTTTTGTTACTGGCTTATCTCACTCGGCAAAACGTCCTCAAGGTACATGCATGTTGTAGCATGTGTCAGGATTTCCCCCCTTTTTAAGACCGACTTGTACACCACACTGCGTTTATCCATTCATTCGACAGTGGACACTTGGAGAGCTTCCACTCCTTGGCTATTGTGAGTAATGTCGCCGTGAACATGAACATACCACTATCCCTTTAAGACCCGGCTTTCAATTATGTTGCATATTACCCAGAAATGGAAATGCCAGATCCTATGGGAATTCTAAGTTTAGTTTTGAGGAACTGTCACACTGTTTCCACAGTGGCTGCCCCTTAAGACAGCTGAACTTCTCTCTAAAGCAGCCGCCCCTGAGTGTCAGGGCCGCGGTGATGACATACACTCAGGAGGATGCCCTGCGGGGAGCATATGCCAGAATTGTCCTTCTCACAGGGAACAGGCGGGATTGGTGGACATGGACAGCTGTTCTCGACCACGGTGTCCCCAGATTTCTGCGTTGCTCCCACAAGGGACTCCCATCAGCATATCCTGCTTGGGAGCCCTGTGTTCAGAACTCACAGTTTGCTCGCTTCCTGTGCTTTATAAAAGGATAAGGAGAAACCTGCCTCTCTGCATTCCAGGGGACACCGATGGGATGTCGCGGTTGATCCATTCATTCACTCACTCACTCACAGCTATGCGTTTAGCACTCACGGTAAACCCAATGCTATCTTAGGCTCTGGGGTACAAAACCACACACCTTCATGGAGCTCACCCTTTACCAGAGGAAAGCAGGCAGTACCCCAAATAATAAGTAGATTTCTAGCATTTGCACAGTGATGGAGGAAAATAAAGTAGGGAGTCGTGGGGGGGGGGGGGTTAAGAAGGATGGTCACTGGGAAGGTGACATTTGAGCAAAGACATGCAGGTTCCGGGGGTGGACACAGGCAGTGCCAAAGCCCTGAGATAGGGTGCGGCCTGATGGGCTAGAGCAGTGGTTCTCAACCTTGGCTGCACATTAGAATCACCTGGGAATCTTTTTAAAATCCTGATTTCTAGGCCTCATCCTCTGGAAATTCTGTTTTTTTGTTATGGGGTGGGGCCACAACATTAGTAACAAAGAAACAGAATTTCCGGAGGATGAGGCCCAGAAATCAGGATTTTAAAAAGATTCCCAGGTGATTCTAATGTGCAGCCAAGGTTGAGAACCACTGGGCTAGAGGAACAGCAAAGTGACCACGTGGCTGGAATGAGTAAATGACACACAAAGGCAGTAAAAAGAGACAGGGTGGGGGTCCTACAGAGGGGGACACCCCTGCTTCTGTCCAGCTGAGGCCACGGAGAAAATCTACCAGCAGAGGCAGGAGAAGGGGCTCTACCTGGTCGCTGCTCAGCACGGTGCCTGGGGTGGAAAGAGGAAGGAGGGCGTCTGCCAGTGTCTGCCTCCTTGTAAGGCAGAGGCATCCGACAGGCTTTTGCTCAGAGAGGAAACGATCCCTCGGGTCCCTCAGGTTGATGGCCCAGGATGGTGGGCTCCACCCTCTATAAATCGAGTGAGACTGAGAGGTAGGGACAGGCCCGTACGCAACGTAGAACATCCGGCCTCAACACCGGGCTGGGCACGAGGGAGGATTTATGCACGAAGCAGACACCCTCTCATTCCCAAAGAAGAAGGCCTCCCTGCACATCGAATCCTTCCACCCAGCCTTCAAAGGCACAGGCACGGGGCCCGGACGACCTGGCTTGTACCCTGGTTGCTGGCATTCATTCATCAGAAGTGGAGAGATGTTGGTTAAGCTGCCCACAAGAAGGAAATTGGGCCCTGGCCAGTTTGTCTCAGTGGATAGAGCATCGGCCTGCAGACCAAAGGGTTGATTCCAGTCAAGGGCACATACCTCGGTTTCAGGCTCCTCCCCAGCCTGGGTCTTGGTTAGGGCTGTGCAGGAGGCAACCAATTGATGTGTTTCTCTCACATCGATATTTCTCTCTGTCTTTCCCTCTCAAAAATCAATGGAGCCCTAGCAGGTTTGGCTCAGTGGATAGAGCATCGGCCTGCGGACTGAATAATCCCAGAGTCGATTCCAGTCAAGGGCACGTACCTCGGTTGCAGGCTCCATCACCAGCATCCCTGGTCAGTGCGTGTGCGGGAGGCAACCAATTGATGTGTCTCTCTCACATCGATGTTTCTCTCTCTCCCTTCCACTCTCTCTAAATATCAATGGAAAAACATCCTTGGGTGAGGATTTTTAAAAAAAGGAAGTTGGTTCACACCAATGGGCGATTATGAGGCGCCTTGCGTGAGCAGGTGTTGTTCCACTGTGTGATTAATTATCTAGGAATGTCTTCAGGACAGCATGATTGAAATGTAATTCACATAGCGTAGAACTCACTGCTGTAAAGTGCCCAGATCTATGGCTTTTAGGATAGTCACAGACAGAGATGTGCAACCATCATCACAGTCAAGTTAGAACATTTTCACCTCAAAAGAAAGAACCCCAGTAAACCCTGTGGCTGTCACCTCCCTCACCGCTCCACCCTGCCGCCCCCTGCCACAGGCCCCATCTGCTTTCAGTCCACATGCATTTGCCTACATGGACATTTCCTACAAATGGAACCACACAACATGCGGACTTGTGTGTCCGGCTTCTCTCAGCTTAATACCGTCAAGGCCCCTCCCGGCTGATGTGTGTTGGTTGGTGCTTCTCTCCTTTTCATGCCGAATGACATTCCATGGTTTGGTCTGCGTAACTCTTGAAGGAAACAGGTCACAGAGGTCGTGGGACAAAAAGCAAAACGTACCAGTGGGTTTGTGGTGACAGATCCATCCCCTCCTGCTCCCCTTGTCCAGCCCCAAAGGCTGCCAGGCACCTTCTGAGACCATTACCTTGAATTTTTAGAATCACCCTTTAAGGGGTATGTTTATGTTATTGATGAAGAAAGTAAACAGATATAAGTGACTCTCCCAGAACCACACAGTTAGAGAGTGGCCGGACCCAGATGCTGGGAGGTCTGTCCTAACCCCCTCGGGGCTGCAGGGTGGGTGTGAGGCAGCGGGTCACACGGAGGAGCAGCTGGTGGGCTGCTACCACCCACTGCCAGGTACTTGCCAATTACAATTTTGAGAGGACATCTCTGTATTTCTAGTGATGTCCTCGGGAGCTCTGTGTCCTGTCCCTCAAGCACATCAGGGTTCAGAAAGCTGTTCCCCCTCGGAGCCCCTAAAGCGAGCTAAGGCCCCTTCCCTCTGTGTCTGTCAGCCCCGCTGGCTAGAGGACTAGCTGGGAACACACGTGGGTTTGCACCAGCGTGCAGCATGAATACGGACAAACCGGCTCCTGGTGGTGGGCGCCCACTCAAAAGTCTTCCCGTTCTCTTTTCTAACATGCACATCCCACTTGGGAAAGAGGGAAGGTAGTGGACAAAGGAAGCTCCATTCGGTACAAGATGGGAGAATAAAATGGGAGAAAAGGCAAAACCATAGGGTTTGGAACAAATCAGTGGTCGCCCAGGCTTGGGGGCAGGGGCATGACTGTGCGAGGGCCACAGGATGGGACATGCCGGGCGGCAACGGTTTTGTGTGGGCCTGGCTGGGTGACTCCACTAATGTGTCAAGACCAATAGAATGTACACCACAAAGATGACTCTTAACACTGCAAAGTTTAAAAAATCGGCCAGAACCCAGGACGGAGTGCAGACTGTGACAAATGACTGATGGACGACACCTCCCATCCCATGGAGCACGGCTCCTGCTCACCGGGGCTGGGCCTTTCACCTCTAAGATTCTCTTATGCTTCAGGTGAGGAAACTGAGGCCCAGAGATGATCCTCAGGACCAGACTGAGCCCAGGCAGCGTCTCCTGTCACCGCACGCCAGACACCATTCCTCCCTGGTGGTTGGCCCAGGAGACCCTGAGTTAGCTCATGTGAGTGTGTGTGTGTGGGGGGGGGGGGGAACTCTCCAGAGGGAAACACCACCTGAGCAAACAGGACCTCACAGCCAGCTCCTTTCTTTCCCACTGGGAGGCGGAGGCCACCCCATGTAGGCGGTGGATGCTGGTGGGGAAAACATCCCAGGTTTACTCTGGCCGGAGACCAGCGAGGAAGAGGATGCTCCGAGCACCTTGTCCTTGTGGAGTTCCTGAGCTGGCAGCCATGGCGGCGGGGGGTGGGGAGGGTGATCTGGGCTCGGTCCCAGGGGCCCCACGCAGAGGCCCACATCAAGGGGAAGGCACCACACAGATCAAAGGGCCCCAGTGAGCCAGCCAAGGAAGGGCTGACCCCAGCCTTCCTGTGGGACGCGCTCACCATTGTTAAGGCAGGTGGGAGCCCCATCCGTCCAAGGACCACGTTCAAGGACCACAGCGACTCCTTCCCTCTCAGAATGCTTTTGTTTGGTCCCGAACAAATAAACTGCATTTCTTTGGAATGTCCACTTCTCCATCAAAGTCCTGTCTTAGCCGATGTTGGAGAAAAGCGACATTGTTGGCCTTGTTATCTTTCAGAGTCGTGCTTAACGCGACAAGGTGTCCAAGGGGAGCTGAGCCAAGATGCGCTCTGCCTCCCACGCGTGGTGGGTTGTGGGTTTCCCTCTTCCCATGGTCTCCATGCTCTCAGGGATGGGTAGGCACTCTTAAAGGTTAATAGTTAGTATTTATTTCCATCAGCTTTAAAACAGACGTTAGCATTAATGGATGTTATTGCTGGGGACAGGACCAGTGCAGGGCGACATGGCGAAAATCTTCAAGATGCTGCCTGAATGACTGAATTTGGGGGGAAACTCAAATCGAGTCCAACACCCCATTTATACTGATAAGACAGGGGCCCCAGAACAGCAGTGACACAGTGACAGCAGAGCGTGGGCCAACGCACGACACACCTGGAGTCAGCCCCAGGGAGCTCCATTTCAGGATGGGACTTAGACCCCCTCAGCACGCGCACCAGCTGGCCGTCTTCCCCTTGCAAACGAGCCAGTGCCCTGCCCAGCCGTGCTTCTCCGAGGACGCTGACTCTGATATGTGCGGCTTACCTTATGCTTTATTTCCGGCAAGATGTCCACCAGCGTCTGCAGTGCCTCGTGGTGGGACCCCAGCTGCGCGGCACAGACACAACATGTTCATTCGAAAAGGCAGCGGGCAGGGCGGCAAGCGCGCCTCATCCTACGGGGACTGTTCAAAAAGCAGCCCCGTGGCCGCACACCACTTCTTCACCAGGAGGGCGGCGCCCCAGCCCAGCGAGAGGTTACCTTTAAAAACACGCCTATGACAGCCAAGCCGTTCTCTCCCATTACAGCTTCTTTGTAGTTTGGGTATTTCACAGCATTCCAGTGAACTAAATGCAGCTGAAACACAGGAGGAAGAGACCTTGTACCCATCACGCTGCAGCAAGAAATGACACCGTTGCCCCCCTGCTGTGTGGCAGACCTATGTGTCCATTCAATGGTTTTAATGAATTCAGCCTGAGCAGCCGGGGTAAGGAACGCGGGCGCCACCAGCATGCTTGGAGCCCCACGTGGCTGATAGAATCACAGACCGTAAAGGCCTTTGCGTTTTTGGTGGGAGAGAAAGAGGCTCCTTTTAACTTTATAAAATAGAAATGGGGGTTGGAGAGAGTGGGTTATTTGCTATTTTTCATATTTTTTCAGATATCCTTGAAAGTGTTTGCCAGATCAAATGCAGGACTCCCAAACTTTGAATTTCACATAAACAACAAATAATTTTAATGTCCCCAATATTGCATTTTTCTCTCCATTTGTCGTCCTCACTTGAACTTCCTGTGTCCTTATTTCACACCCTTCCTTCTGGCATCAGGACTGGCCAGATGACAAGGGTTTAAATCAGGGGCAGGGGCCCGGCTTGGGAAACAGGCTGTCCTGGGTCACTGGCCAGCAGGAGGAACCCCTGGGCTGGCTCGGGGTTCTCTGTGATGAGAGCTCACGGTGCTGCCCACGCCGGGTCTGGCTCAGAACGTGGATGGGGCCTGGGTGTCCTTACAGATTTCCTTCTACAGGAATGAGCTGTGGTGAGGTCTTTCTGAATGGAGACCCGAACCCCGAGGCAGCAAGCCCTCCCCAGGCGCTGCTGGATTCCAAGGCCCTGGGTCCTCTGCCGGGGTCCACGTGTGCTCAGGTGGCACCTCACTCCCAAATCCCAGTGTTCCCAGCCATGTGCACTGGGGACCATGGGGGTGGCGAGGCCTCCCCTGCTTCTCTGTAGCTTACCTGGAACCCCCTGTTCCCAGCCATGTGCACTGGGGACCATGGGGGTGGCTTCTCTGTAGCTTACCTGGAACCCCACACCTGCTGTCCTATTGCAATCTGCCAGAAACAGAGACAGCTGGCCCACAGCCCTGACTGCAGCCTCCTGCCTTCAGAGACGCTGCCTTTGGAGCTGGCTTTGCCCTCCACGCCCCCCACCGGAAATGGCACTTTACAGCATGCGTGGGTCCCATTGCTGATCTCGCCTCTATGCTAATAAATTACAACAAGCTCCTCTGTTAAAATACCTGTAAAAATTAAAAACCGTGGTGCAGATACACAGTTTGTGTTGTCAAATGAAAGGGAGCATGTTGCAAGCCGCTGCTCTTTCATTTTTGTCACGTTTGTAAACGTGTGTAATTATATCAATAGATGTAATCGCCTCTTTATAAACTGTCCCCAGAGATCCCGCCTGGGTGTGTGGTTACTGGTCATTTTTATTTTGGGGGCTGGCTGGACTCTAGTTCGATTTTAACTATAGTATTACTCCCATAACAATGGCAACAGAAAGTTGAAACAAAAACAGCTCGTAACTTGAAATGCATCCGAAAGGCAGGTGGTTGGTGGGTGGATAAAGGGATGGGTGGGTGGACAGACGTGTGATAAAGTGAATATGGCAAAACATTAATCTTAGAATCTTAGTGGCAGACTCACGGGTTCTCACTGTACAGTTCTTTCAATTTTTTGGTTTGTTAGAAATTTTTCATAATAAAATATTGGGGGAAATCTATATATTACCACTTATCACCCCACCATAACTACAAAACCCAGTTCCTAGCATTAATCTCCGCTCATTTTTTCCCTGACTCCCATTTTATTTTAATGTTTCAGAGGTCACTTTGTTTTAGGATGATCTCTATTGTAAAGATTTTCAGATTCTCGATAGGTGGCCTCACACCCTGAAGGACAGGAAGGTGCGAGTCGGAAGTGGACCACCAGCAAGCGCGGGGCTGAGGGAGAGGCTTAGAGCGCAGATTGTTCCTGAATCCCAGCTGCCTGGTTTTGGCAAGCTACCCAACCACTTAGAACTTCCGCGTCTTCTTCTGCTAAATGAAGGTGCTAAAAACACCCTCCCTTCAGGATGGTTGTGTGATTGAACGGGTGGGGTGGCCGACTGTTCTGGTTGGAGCGCGGAGAGGCCCACATCCCAGGAAACACTCCGTTTCTGGGCCACTGGATGGCTGGCCACCCTACAACGAAGCCCGGCACGTAGAAAGCATCCACATGTGGGCCTCGGACATCTACACACCTCTGCCGGGTACACGTGGTCCTCCACCGTGTGCTCGGAGCCCCACTCGTTCACTGCTCCCCAGTGGAAGTGGAACTGCTTCAGGCGGTAGTGGTTTTCCAAGGGGCCACCGCTGATTCCTGAAAAATGAAACCCGTGTGTGTTAGTTTGTCTATTCTTTGGATTGTGGTATTGCTGTGACACTGTCTACGCTGAAGCCGCATGATTTCACGCTCGACTGATGTCTTGCTGAAATGACAAACTGGAAGGTGGGCCCCATGTCCCAGTTACCGGGCCCCAGGCGGGCCCACATCCAGCTCACAGTAATGGTGCAGATTCCAGTGCTGCCACCAGGTGGCGGTAGGGCCTCAATCCCTCCCCGCAGCAATGAAGCAAAGAAAAACCATTTGAGATGTATGCCTGTCCTATAAGATTTCCAGGCTTCCTTAACTAAGAAAAAAATATATGTCTCTTGAATGAAAAAAGGCTTAAATCCTATCACCAAATAATTTCATAAACTAATATGTTAAGAGCAAGATTTTAAACAAATTCTGAGCTACAACATGCTGCCTTTCCCACCAGCTCTGGTCTTGATGCAGCTCTAGCTCAGTCTAGTCCCACTACATGACCAGGTTTTATAGGAACACTCCTTTCTAAGTCACTCTAAATACTTGGCGGAGCCTCCCCAAGAGCTGTTAGCCTGATGCACTCGGGCTCAGACCTGAGCATCTGCCAAGGAGGAGTCTGGCTCTCAACTGTGGGATTGTGGGCGCCACCCAGGGGCTCAGGGTTAGGGCAGGGACCCTGCATTTTAACTGTCTCCTGGGTGGCTCCGATGTACATGGCGTGGCCTGCCCCTCGCTGCACTTTGCTAATAGATTTCCAGGAACAAATGCAATGGTAACTGTTGGGCATCTCACTTTTGGTTGAAGTGAGCTTGTGCTACTGGGGTGGCTGGGACAAGCCTGGAAGACATGGCAGAGCGGTGGAGTGAATTCCAGGGGCCTTGCTTGCATCAACCCCTCTACATGTCAAATACTACTGGCTAGTGGCGTTTTCTGTTTGGTCTTTACCATAAAAAGTATTTGTAGCAGGAAACACTGAACTATAAACAAGAAAACAGGTTCCGCTCATGATTCTGCTCCCAATCGAGTTGTAAAGCTTCCCACCATCTTTCTTGACTCCAAATGAGGGTGTTGGTCAAAGTCATTAGGGTCTCGTCCAATCATAAAGTTCTATATGTCAAATACTACTGGCTAGTGGCGTTTTCTGTTTGGTCTTTACCATAAAAAGTATTTGTAGCAGGAAACACTGAACTATAAACAAGAAAACAGGTTCCGCTCATGATTCTGCTCCCAATCGAGTTGTAAAGCTTCCCGCCATCTTTCTTGACTCCAAATGAGGGTGTTGGTCAAGGTCATTAGGGTTGTCCAATCATCAAGTTCTATGGCTCATGAGGTAATCTTCTACTCTCCTTAACACACACACACACACACACACACACACACACACACACACACATTACACCCCTACTTTCAAAAACAGGCAGAAATATCTCTTTCTCTACCAAGTATATAAGAACATTTTATCCCTGGCCAGGTGGCTCAGTTGCCTGGAGTATCTTCCTGTTCATTAAAAGGTTGTGGGTTCAATTCCCGGTCAGGGTGCATACCTAGGTTGTGAATTAGATCTCCAGCCGGGGTGTTTCCAGGAGGCAACTGATCTCTCTTTCTCTCTCTCCCCTCCCCCCTTTTCTCCCTCAAATCAATAAAACATATCCTTGGGTGAGATAAAGAAAAACAAGACCCCACATTTCAAATCATAAAGTCTGAATCCATCGGTGGCCAAGAGTACTGTGACATGAAGGAGGAGAGCCTCTCAGGTGGTTCAAACTGCAAGGCTTTAATGGAGATGTTCGCAGTTAGAAATACAAGAGGGGTGATTGTTTTCCTTCGAGGGGGTGAGGATGCTCGCGCAGACTGGCCTTTGTAGTTTTATGTTGTGTTTTAATTTATGGTGAGTAGTTAAATAGGTTGTGAGAAATCCCTGAGGTGCAGCAATTGGAGTTAGGATTCGAACCCAGCCTGATGCCAAAATGTGCGCCTTTCCCCTTTTTTTCTTCAAAGTACAAAATGTAATCTAAGGAGTTACAGAACCATGAAGCACAGGCAGAGGTCATCTTTGTGCACTTCTGCCTGGCGCCTTGTATCTGTGGTGGAAAGGGAGTTTGTAGCATTGGGCAGCCGGAGACCACATGCAACCAAAGTACATCGCTTAGTGACCGAGAGGTGAGCCTGTCACCTGACCAAACGTCCTCCAGGAGGTACCCTGGGACTGAGACTAAGACTGGCCATGTGCTCACGCACGCGGAAGGTAACCACAGGGATACAACGCACATCAGTATCATCTTTTCCAGAACGTAAGTGCAGAAGGCAGGAATGATGGGTGTTTCAGCTAAGGGACAAATTGAATGGGACACAAACTGGTGAACAGTTAGAAGGCTGCGAGCTAAGTACCATCCACTCAATTGTAACTGTTGGGCATCTCACTTTTGGTTGAAGTGAGCTTGTGCTACTGGGGTGGCTGGGACAAGCCTGGAACACATGGCAGAGCGGTGGAGTGAATTCCAGGGGCCTTGCTTGCATCAACCCCTCTACATGTCAAATACTACTGGCTAGTGGCGTTTTCTGTTTGGTCTTTACCATAAAAAGTATTTGTAGCAGGAAACACTGAACTATAAACAAGAAAACAGGTTCCGCTCATGATTCTGCTCCCAATCGAGTTGTAAAGCTTCCCGCCATCTTTCTTGACTCCAAATGAGGGTGTTGGTCAAGGTCATTAGGGTTGTCCAATCATCAAGTTCTATGGCTCATGAGGTAATCTTCTACTCTCCTTAACACACACACACACACACACACACACACACACACACACACACACACATTACACCCCTACTTTCAAAAACAGGCAGAAATATCTCTTTCTCTACCAAGTATATAAGAACATTTTATCCCTGGCCAGGTGGCTCAGTTGCCTGGAGTATCTTCCTGTTCATTAAAAGGTTGTGGGTTCAATTCCCGGTCAGGGTGCATACCTAGGTTGTGAATTAGATCTCCAGCCGGGGTGTTTCCAGGAGGCAACTGATCTCTCTTTCTCTCTCTCCCCTCCCCCCTTTTCTCCCTCAAATCAATAAAACATATCCTTGGGTGAGATAAAGAAAAACAAGACCCCACATTTCAAATCATAAAGTCTGAATCCATCGGTGGCCAAGAGAACTGTGACATGAAGGAGGAGAGCCTCTCAGGTGGTTCAAACTGCAAGGCTTTAATGGAGATGTTCGCAGTTAGAAATACAAGAGGGGTGATTGTTTTCCTTCGAGGGGGTGAGGATGCTCGCGCAGAGGAGAGCCTCTCAGGTGGTTCAAACTGCAAGGCTTTAACGGAGATGTTCGCGGTTAGAAGTACAGGAGGGGTGATTGTTTTTCTTGGAGGGATGAGGATACTTGCGCAGACTGGCCTTTGTAGTTTTTTGTTTTTTTTTGAGGCTTTAATGGAGATGTTCGCAGTTAGAAATACAAGAGGGGTGATTGTTTTCCTTCGAGGGGGTGAGGATGCTCGCGCAGACTGGCCTTTGTAGTTTTATGTTGTGTTTTAATTTATGGTGAGTAGTTAAATAGGTTGTGAGAAATCCCTGAGGTGCAGCAATTGGAGTTAGGATTCGAACCCAGCCTGATGCCAAAATGTGCGCCTTTCCCCTTTTTTTCTTCTGGCCTTTGTAGTTTTATGTTGTGTTTTAATTTATGGTAAGTAGTTAAATAGGTTGTGAAAAATCCCTGAGGTGCAGCAATTGGAGCTAGGATTCGAACCCAGCCTGATGCCAAAATGTGCACCTTTCCCCTTTTTTCTTGAAAGTACAAAATGTAATCTAAGGAGTTACAGAACCATGAAACGCAGGCAGAGGTCATCTTTGTGCACTTCTGCCTGGCGCCTTGTATCTGTGGTGGAAAGGGAGTTTGTAGCATTGGGCAGCCGGAGACCACATGCAACCAAAGTACATCGCTAGTGACCGAGAGGTGAACCTGTCACCTGACCAAACGTCCTCCAGGAGGTACCCTGGGACTGAGAGACCGAGACTGGCCATGTGCTCGCGCACGCAGAAGGTAACCACGGGGATACAACGCACATCTGTATCATCTTTTCCAGAACATAAGTGCAGAAGGCAGGAATGATGGGTGTTTCAGCTAAGGGACAAATTGAATGGGACACAAACTGGTGAACAGTTAGAAGGCTGCGAGCTAAGTACCATCCACTCAATTCCCAGGACGGGGGCCATTTCTGTCTTGCTCATCATTGTATTCTCAGCACTTAGTCCAGGGCACATCCATTGGAGGCACCTGGTGGGTGAATGCGTGGGATCACTCAGCTCATTGATTGGTTCAGTCAGTCACTCAGTAAGCAGATCTGTGTATTACTTTTTTTCTTCAAAGTACAAAATGTAATCTAAGGAGTTACAGAACCATGAAACGCAGGCAGAGGTCATCTTTGTGCACTTCTGCCTGGCGCCTTGTATCTGTGGTGGAAAGGGAGTTTGTAGCATTGGGCAGCCGGAGACCACATGCAACCAAAGTACATCGCTAGTGACCGAGAGGTGAACCTGTCACCTGACCAAACGTCCTCCAGGAGGTACCCTGGGACTGAGAGACCGAGACTGGCCATGTGCTCGCGCACGCAGAAGGTAACCACGGGGATACAACGCACATCTGTATCATCTTTTCCAGAACATAAGTGCAGAAGGCAGGAATGATGGGTGTTTCAGCTAAGGGACAAATTGAATGGGACACAAACTGGTGAACAGTTAGAAGGCTGCGAGCTAAGTACCATCCACTCAATTCCCAGGACGGGGGCCATTTCTGTCTTGCTCATCATTGTATTCTCAGCACTTAGTCCAGGGCACATCCATTGGAGGCACCTGGTGGGTGAATGCGTGGGATTACTCAGCTCATTGATTGGTTCAGTCAGTCACTGTGTATTGAGCAGATCTGTGTATTACAGCAGAATTCAGCCTTTCCCATGGTAGCTTGGGAACTGCCTAAGATTCCTAGGGAATTCCACCAAACACTATAATTATTTCAAGAGCTGGA